ACCACCTGAGTAAAACGTCTTAAGTAGGAAAACGTCGTTCGTAACATCGCGCAGATAACGGTGATGTCGTAGCGTTGTCACTGCCCCACCCACCGCCCCCACAGCTCCCTCTCTCTGGAGGACGAGCTGGAACGTCTCTTGGAGCCGGGCCTCGACGCCTCCACCGCCGCCGCCAACGGAAGCAGCGGCGGCGTTGGCGACTCAGAGGCGGAGACGGCGGCGGCGGTCGAGGCGGCGGCCGAGCTGCTGAGTTTGCTCGGGCCGAGGATGGAGGCCGCCAGGGCCTGCTGGGACGAGACCGTCACCCGCTCCAGGGCCCTGCGGCGCCGCGGCGATCGCGACGGCGCGGCCGGTAAGAGCGGAGCGAGAGGCGGAGCGTTCGTCGCGCGGCGGTCAAACCCGCCGTGTTTTTTATTGTCCTTTTCGCGCACTCGGTCCTGACTGTGCTGTAACGTGTCGAATCACGAGACGAAGGAATAATTCGGGAACAAGTCGGTTGAAGTGGATATCGCACAACTACATCCGAGACCCCACCCGGCCTGGCACAGACAACGATATCCGTCGCATGACATTCAAACTGCAGCTGGAAATTAGCCGAATTTTAAGATTGTGGTTATTTTGTGAGACATTCAACTCACTACACTTGAGTACCCAGCTTTAAACACGGGAGGCTGAAACCTGGGGCACCACGGTGGCGGGATGTTATCTGCCTCGCCTGGTATGGAGGAGGTGGTTAGTTCAATCGTAACCCCGATGCCTCTATGTTTGCAGTTTGAATATTTTCCCCGTGGTCGCGTGGACTTTTCTCCAGGCCCTCCGGTTTTTCCATCCACGTTTAGAATCAACGTGCATTCCAAGTATTCAGCTGCTGTGAATTTCCATGTGGTAAGCTATAATTTGTGGCCAGGCCACTTCTGAAAGAGCTATGTAGCTCAGTGGCCCTTACCTGGTAAAATAAAACATCAGTTTAATAGTTTAGTTTATTGAGAACCAGAGGTGTGGACTCGAGTCATGTGACTTGGACTCGAGTCAGACTCGAGTCATGAATTTGATGACTTCAGACTCGACTTGGACTTGCATAACAATGACTTTGTCCCACCTCTGTTGAGAACCCAGTTGAATCGGAGGTGGCTGAAACCTGGAGTCCAACCTAAGATCTGCAGCAGTGCCAAGCTCAGCACCGTGACTGACCTCTGAGCGATCCGGCCACTGCGTTGAGTAGAACTTTTTAAATTTCACAGAATTCCACCGCCTGTGGGATTTGACAGCGTCTATATGTGAGATGCATCACAAGATAAAGGGAGGGAGAAAAATACCACGGGGCAGAGATTTATCCCTGGGCAACGAACGCCCTTGCTGCTGCCTGATGAGTGTTCATCATCAGCCGTGGTCTGTCCGCTGCTGGATAAAGGCCTCCTCAACCAAGATACCGCCACCCAATGGTGGTGCCGACTCGGCACTCCGACCTCTGACCCCTGAGCCATCTCACTGTACGAATCGTTGTTAGTCGATGAATCGATGCATCATCATCATCATCATCGCGCACCCAACTGGGTACTGCGAACACTCGCAAGGCAAGGGCCGTTCGCTATTCGCGTCGTCGCTCGGTGCCAGCGCTCTCCACCCGCGTCACGTTGCCCCTCCCCCCCCTCCCGTTCCGCCGTGTCGCGCGCAGCCGACGTGCCGGGCAGAGCGGAACCAACACGCAGCGTCGACGAGGATCGGCCTGCGTTGGTGATCATCGACGATCGCGACCCCATCCCGGAGGAGCAGGTACTTGCGCAGTACATAACAAAGATCCCTCCCCTATAGTCTTAATGGACCGTTGGGGCGAGCGCTGTGAAGGCCGGAACGGCACACGATGGGGTGGGTGGCCAGGACAACGCCCGGCCGGCTTTGTCTTCCTAGTGGTACTCATTTGAGGCTAAATCGACCTCGGAGGGGACCCAGGACCCGTTCAGACATTATTCCCCGGTGTTGGTCGTGAGCGGGAATCCAACACGGGTCACCGGGTTCATACCGCAGCACGCTCACCACTGCACGACCCCTTCACAGTACATACACCCACACACCCACACACCCACACACCCACACACCCACACAGGACACACACCCACACACCCACACACCCACACACCCACACACTCACACACCCACACATCCACACACCCACACACCCACACACCCACACACCCACACCCCCACACCCCCACACACCTACACACCCACACACTCACACACCCACACACCCACACACCCACACACCCACACACCCACACAGGACACACGTACTCGCGTGGTGACCACGTACTCGCGTGGTGACCACGTACTCGCTCGCACAACGGGGTTACCGCTTTATCCATAATGGAAGAACCGTGTCATGGTGATAACGCGTTGTGTGCTGATGCCGTTTCTGTCGCTGATACTGCCGTTGCTGCTGCCACTGTTGATGCCACTCCTGCTGTTGCTGCTGTTGCTACTGCTGTTGCAGCCACTGTTGCTGCTACTGCTGATGTTGCTGCTGCTATTGTTGATGTTGCTGCTGCTACTGCTGCCGTTGCTGATGTTGCTACTGCTGATGTTGCTACTGCTGTTGTTGCTGCTGCTTGCTACTGCTAATGTTGCTGATGCTGCTGCTGCTACTGCCACTGTTGATGCCGCCACTGCTGCTGTTGCTGCTTGCTGCTGATTTTACTACTGCTGCAACTGCTGTTGCTGCTGCCACTGTTGATGCCGCTGCTGTTGCTGCTGATGTTGCTGCTGCCACTGCTGCTGCCGTTAATATTACCGCTGCTGACGTCATCCCTAACGGTAATAACGTCGACCCACGATGCCGCCGCCGCCGCCGCTCCCCCCGCAGGAGTTCGAGTCCTTCGCGGGGGACCCCGAGGACGGCCCCCCGCCGCCGGGGAGCGACGACCCCCGTGGCGAGCGGCGATCGCCGGACCCCGAGGAGCGGGAGCGCCTGCGGCGTCGGCTCGAGGAGGCGCGGCGGGAGCGCGAGGAGGCGCGCCGCATGCTGGACGAGCTGAAGAGCGTCCTGGGGGTGCGCACGTCGCTGGAGCAGCGCGCCGTCTTGAGGAGCGCCCTCTTCCCCGCGGCAGGTGACGGAACCCTGGCCCCCCTCGGCCCTGCGACCCGTCTGGAACGCGCTCTCTTCCTTCCGATGTCAGGAAGCCACGAGGAGCTACGGCGCTTTTAAATCTCGTTTGTAAAATGTACTTCTTGAGAACTGCTTTTTATGTGTTTCGTTTGTTGTCCTTCCACACCCCCCCCCCCCCGCACCTGGCTACGTACGGTGAGAAAGAAGTTCAACGTACGTACGGGTCGAGAGGTCAAGATTGTGAATGCAGTTTGTTATATGAAGAGCGGGCGGCGGTGGTGGTCGTTGCGGTGGTGGTGGCAGTGGTGGTAGTGGTGGTAGCGGCAGTGGTGGTGGTGGCAGCGGTAGTGGCGGTAGTGGTGGTAGCGGCAGTGGTGGTGATGGCAGCAGTGGTGGTGGTGGTAGCGGCAGTGGTGGTGATGGCAGCGGTGGTGGTGGTAGTGGTGGTAGCGGCAGTGGTGGTGATGGCAGCAGTGGTAGTGGTGGTAGCGGCAGTGGTGGTGATGGCAGCGGTGGTGGTGGTAGTGGTGGTAGCGGCAGTGGTGGTGATGGCAGCAGTGGTGGTGGTGGTAGCGGCAGTGGTGGTGATGGCAGCGGTGGTGGTGGTGGTAGCGGCAGTGGTGGTGATGGCAGCGGTGGTGGTGGTGGTAGCGGCAGTGGTGGTGATGGCAGCAGTGGTAGTGGTGGTAGCGGCAGTGGTGGTGATGGCAGCGGTGGTGGTGGTGGTAGCGGCAGTGGTGGTGATTGCAGCGGTGGTGGTGGCAGTGGTGATGGCGGCGGCGGTGGTGGCGCACGCCCATATGGAGGCGAGGGTTGGTGGATGACGTCGAGATGTGTGAAAGTCTCAAACCCGCCGGGACGCACGTGGGTGGCCAGGAGATGGCAGTACAGCAAGCGAGTTTGCGGATTCAGATTCCACGAGTCCCGCGCAGGGCGGGAGGGTTGCCGCGTTGCGATGTTTTGGCCGTTTCCATGAACGATCGGGAATGTGGGAGGGGGAACTGTTGAAAAAAACATAACCATACGATGCGGGGATAACAAAGTCCCGCACAGATGGGTTCAGGAATCGCATTAACTGTACTGCCTTCACCTGGCAACCTCGCAGCCCAAGCCTACCAACAGCTGCCGTTCCCTCCCGCCTCGTCGTCGTGTCTCACCCGAATGCTCGCTTAGGCTCAACCCTGTCGAGCGACGCAGGAGCGAGACGGAGTAAGACCGTGAGAGATGGTGGTGGCAAGAACAACCCAGCCATGTGACGTGACAAAAAACACGCAAGGCAAACGGCTTCTTTCCACTTGTATTTATTTTTTTCCCCTTCTAGCGCCGCGGGAAACGTCGCTGCAAGCGCGGCCCTCGAGCTCGGCGGAGACCCCGACGGAGACGGCTGCCAGGAGCCCCGCCGTCGACGATCACAGCCGTGACGACGACGGTGACGACGGAGGAGGAGATGGCGGCGACGGGGAGAGCAGAAACGGGGTAACTTCCTCCCGAGACGACTTGGGCGGCAATTGCGAAGACGACGGTGGTGCAAGGGCTATCGGCGTATGGGACGCTGCTGCTGCCTCTGCTGCCAGTGGCGATGAAGCAACTTCATCTGCTGCTGGTGCTAGCGAAGCGAACATATATTCGACTGGCGGTTGTGATGATGATGACGAAGCTGAAAGAGAGTCAACTCCTAGCAGCAGTGAAACTAAGAGGGAGTTTGCGGCTGGCAGCGATGTTGATGATGCCAAGACAGAAGCTGGTGGTAGTGGTGGTGGTGATGATGGCGACGACGATGATGCCAACGGAAACACTTCTGCTAGTCGCGATTACGACAATGACGCTGACGAATCCAATGGAGACCGCGCTGCTGGCGTTGAAGGAGAAGGGGGGGAGACCGCGGGAAGTGACGGCGATGACGCCGGCGGGCGTGGCGCCCCCCACGGCCCCCCGCCAGCCTCGCTGCGCGAGAGGCTGGCAGCGGCACAGCTCAGCGGCTGGCACGGCGCCACCAGGGACCCACGCTCCGTCCACCTGACGTCGATGGTGGCGACGCAAGCGGCTACCCTCTCGCGAGGGCTCCTGTCCCTGCAGGAGCAGACCTTTGGTGACGACGGTGATGATGACGACGACGACGATGACGACGACGACGCCGATGATGATCGCGAATCTCAAGAGTGAGGATGACACGAAGTGTGAGGTGGTTGTGTTGCTGTGAAGTGGCGATTGTGTCTTAACGTTTACGAATAAATCACCTCCAGGAATTTGCCTTTGGAACTAAACTTTAAATATTTTGTTATTTTCCAGAAAAAGCCCGCTAAGCTATTGGCTCTTTTTTCAGAGGCCACCTGGACACACGTGATGATAGCTCAACATCGATGCGGCTTGTATCATTGTCTAAACGCCACGTGACGTCGATTCTAAACGTGGAGAGACAGAGCACGCGGACTCCAAATATACACCAAGAGGCATCGTCAGGGTCCGGGATAGAACCCACGACCACCTGCGTACCAGGCGAGGCAGATAAGACAAGGCCACAGACGGACACGTGTCACTGGGGCTACGGTCCCCCCACTCTTGAAGTGACCGCTGGTTTGGACAATTCAAAATTCAACACTGGCAGGACTGCATACACTCCTCACCTTCACTTATAAACTAGGCATTTAAAAACAAATCTTAAAAGGTTCAGGTTATGTAAAAGACTTGTACCTTTGATGCCCGTGATCCATAATAGAGGTTTTTGGGTTAGATCGCGTAAATATAGATGTCGTTAAAGCCGCCACAGTCAGTAAGGTAAGTCACGTCAACAAAACGTGCCAATTTGTTACCCGTTCAGCACACCGGTTGTGCGTTGGAGAGTAAACCTGCTACAACATTTACATTTATAGTGTAGTGTATAGTGTAGTGTATAGTGTAGTGTATAGTGTAGTAGTGTATAGTGTAGTGTATAGTAGTGTAGTGTGTAGTAGTGTAATGTGTAGTAGTGTAGTGTATAGTGTAGTGTATAGTGTAGTGTATAGTAGTGTATAGTAGTGTAGTGTATAGGGTAGTGTATAGTGTAGTGTATAGTAGTGTAGTGTATAGGGTAGTGTATAGTGTAGTGTATAGTGTAGTGTATAGTAGTGTATAGTGTAGTGTATAGTAGTGTAGTGTGTAGTGTATAGTAGTGTAGTGTATAGTGTAGTGTATAGTAGTGTAGTGTATAGTAGTGTAGTGTACAGTGTAGTGTACAGTGTAGTGTATAGTGTAGTGTGTAGTAGTGTACAGTGTAGTGTACAGTGTAGTGTACAGTGTAGTGTAGTAAACCCGCTACAACATTTACAATTCGAGTACCATGACGTTGAGCTATCATTTGTGATAGGTTGCTTCTGAAAAAGAACTACGTAGCTCAGTGGGGCCTTACCTGGTAATATAAAAATACACTATGGGGACCTCATTTGCCAGTAAAAATATGATAATTGGTTCTTTACCCTTCTATCTGGCAACAAACATGACTCCTTGCAAAAAGGTGTCAGTTTTGTTGCCAGATAGAAGGGTAAAGAACCAATTATCATATTTTTACTGGCAAATGAGGTCCCCATAGTGTAGATGCTTGCCCCGAGCTCTCATACTCTGATGGTGCATTGTCTTTGAGTTGTGCGCCTTTTGGCGTCTTCTGGTCCAACCCATGTGAGACTAGGCTCGAAGGAAAGCTGTCTCGGGTGTGGACCAATCAACTTCAAGGACAGTGCACATTATCAGAGTTATGTTCTTTTGTTTGTATTATGACTGCAGGTATTGCGGTCTATGCAAACATGACTCCTTGCAAAAAGGTGTCAGTTTTGTTGCCAGATAGAAGGGTAAAGAACCAATTATAATATAAAAATAGTTTAGTTTAGTTTTACATACCTACTTGGGGGGGGGGGGGGGGGGGGGAGCAGATTAAGTGTATGAAGGAAGATTGACGGAAGTTTGCGTTGTGGATTGTATCGTGTCCCAATGAAGCTAGCGTGGGCTTGTCGTAATAACGATTGCCAGTGTTATTGAATGCTCATGTTGTTGAATGCTCGTGTTGCTGCACCCGACTCTCCAAAGCCGCTGGTGGGAAATTCCTCACTGCCGCGACGACTACAACAATGACGAGGCTCTCCGAAGGGCAAGCTGGGCCCGCTGTCGTGAAGCTTTTATGGCGTCTCGCGTTTTTGAAGAGCGCGAGTGGGGGGCCTCACCCGGTCGTTTGCGCGCTGAACCCCACGTGGCAGCAATGGCGTCGCTAACGAAACTCGCGCGCGCGCACGCACGGTTTTTCCGCAATCTCAATAAAAGCGTTTCTTCTTCTTGGGTCTTTCGGTAAAGTCACGTAGACAGGTTCAAAGAAAATAATAAAAAATAACAGAAAGCCTTTTCCTGAAGACGACCGCTTGCTTTGCGGTCGAAACGTCGTAGTTTTCTGTTATTTTTTCATAATTTTCTTTGAACCTATCTACGTGACTTTACCGAAAGACCTAAGAATAGGAATTCCTGCAGTCACGAAAGCTTTAAGTCAAGATTTCAAAGCGTTTCTTATTTCTATCGAACTAACGTCGAGCTCTTCGCCTGGCGCGTACCGTCTTGATTTGAACGCAAGTGAGATTATTTCGCGTGCGACCCGCGCCGTGAGCTTCTTCAACGGAACCTCTTATCGGCCGACTGCGATGGTTCACGCCACAGCACCTAAGTGCGCCGTGCTCACGTCATTTGGCGTTATCCACCTAAAGTAGAAACTCCTTTGCCACCAACTTCACACTGATGAACGTCACGCGGCTGTGCCATGTGATCCAGTGGGCCTCAGTCTCGTTTGGAATGATCCGTCTCCGATTTCGCTCCAGTTGCTGCTAGTTGGCGTTACGCCACGAGACGGTGTCCGTCCGGAACTCTCATAGGGCACTGCTTCAGCCCCTCTTAAAGAACAGCCCACGGAAGCAGATATCACAGAACTACGTCTGAGATCCCCTTCAAAGTCACCTTATTTATTCATCACGAAGGAGTGCTGCCACTTTCCTTCCCACCTGCCCTGCTACAGATGCTCATGGTTCATCACGTGGCAGTCAGACTGATTTTCCTTAATTCTCAGAGCTGGTGTTTCGCCAAATTTAAATGACAGACCAATTTAATTGTGTTGACTCTGTTTGTGCAGTCATTGGTGAATGGGCGGAGGCCCTTCCACTCACTAGACTTGAGAATTTAGTTTAATCATAACTTAGTCGATGGGAGTAGATGGCTCTCTATGTGAATGGATCTCTATGCAAGTCATCGGTGACCAGGCTGAGGCCACGAAGCCACTAAACTTGCAAACCCAGGCTACCAAAGCCCCATTCTGAACCCATAATCACTGCGTCACTAACTCGGCGCTCTCACCCCTAAATCACTCTCTTAAAAAAAGCCACATTTTTAGCACTTTCATTCGAACATCCTCGCCACCACCCCGTGTCGGAGTAATATCCCTGAAAAACGAACTTATCGAACCGCTCCCGAAAGTCCCTTCAGCAGGCTCCTTCGTGAACCGCTTTTGTCCGCCGTGTAACAACAAGCCAGGCATGCACCGCACGGAGAAATCCCGACGTGTTAACCCTCGGACAACGGGGGGACAATCCCGAACCGACACCTCCGATTCGCGCGGTTGGCTACGTACGTTGCGACAGAAGCTCAACGTACACGAGTACAAACCAGCTGGCCGAGATCACACTCTGGTAATGAGCCTTACGAATTCCCGCGTCGTCGTCGTCGTCCTTGGCACGACGGCTCCCTAACAACACCGCGGGTTGGATGTCACCGTCCCGCTCACCGGCAGTTGTCGGTGTCTCCGGGCAACGTCTCCGAGCTTCGTCACACGCCCAGCAGCCTCGGTCTGTCCGACTGTCTCACGGTGCCAGACACCACCGGTGCGGCGGTGCCGGCGCCGCCGGTGAAGGGTCGTGGCGGTGCCAGCTCGCCACGCTCCGTGCGCCACCCTCTCTGCTCGGACGCCTCGGAGGCGCTTGAGCCATCGTCCGCACCGCTCGCACCGATGCCACCGACACGAGAACTCGAGGTGCCGGGGCCCGGCCTGGGGCTGTGAGCGGCACAGGGGGCAGAGAGAGAGTCAGTGCCGGATTATCCCAGTAGCACAAGTAGCTACACGTGTAGTAGCTACGGGCCCCGCACTTTCAAGGGCCCCGCATTTTCAAGGGCCCCGCGCTAAATGCCGTCAAGCTATCAATTCCGGTTCAGTGATTCTGCACTTGCTCTATTACTATAGTACTATACCGCCTTCAACTTTTATGAACGACTGGGTGTTTAAGATTATCGATTTGTCGTATTAGCTGGCTGTATAGCAAATTAAAAATACAATTACTTTACTATGCAAGTCAAAAATGTGTGTTTTAATATTTACGCGTTTTTTTTATTTAGGGCCCCTTTATAACATATGCTACATGCCCTGCACTAGCTTCATCCGCACTGGAGAGAGTGTGCGTCGTGTAGTTTCATGGCGGTTTGATCCGGGTTCTTCACCGTCTGCACCTCGGCAGCGGCTCCGTTTATTTATGGATCGCGTGCTTGTGTCGCGGTGCTCAGGCGAGCGCTTGGTGGAACTCGGTTGCCGGAACTGAGCCAGTGGTGGAAATTCCACATTCCTATGGAAAAATTCACAGTCTGCCCATAGCTCCACTTGGGTCAAGCAATTTTGGGTTTTATTTTTAAATGAGCGTAAGTCTCGATATCCTTTGTGACGGTACATAAACAGCATCCTGCAATAATAGTAGAATGCCAAAGTTCAGCCCTTTCGGCCTCTAAATTATTCCTAGAATTTCTTACAAATCTCGCAACGTTTCACAGGAACACCACCGAGTCAAAATCCATTCAGTGCCCAGCAAAACCCAAGGGGGGCGGCTTTGATCGCTCGCTGGCGTCCCCACGGCAGAGTTGGCGCGGGCCCCCTGCTCGCCTCGGTCGGAGCCGCACCTGAATTGGAAGTCGCGGGGGAGGAAGCGGCCCAAGAGGAAGTCTCCGCGGGAGCGAGCGATCTGGCGCCGTAGGTCGTGCCGGGTCAGGCCGTAGCCGTCCAGCAGGAGGTCGGCGAACAGCAGGCGCCCGGCCGCGTACATCTGCTCGCGTCGTCACGAACGGCGCGGAGAGAAGAGTCGGTGGCGCGCGCCGTGGCCCGAGTGTAGCTAACGGTGCTCGCGCCGCCGATTTTGGCAACGTTTGGCTTCGTTCTAGATTTGAAGCTTTCGTGACTGCAAGGATTCATATTCTTAGGTTTTTTCGGTAAAGTCATGTAGGTTAAAAATTTAAATTAATAAAAGCAAAATAACAAATAAAAATAAAATAAAAATCACGACGTTTCGGAGGCAACACAAGCTTCCGTCTTCAGGTGGAACCGTCACAGCACGACAGCTGTATCAAGTAATTTTAATTTTTTACCTACGTGATTTTACCGAAAAAACCTAAGAATATGTTTGGCTTCATATGCCTCCCCCCGTGTGCATCCGTACTCCCAACGGTGTGTAGAGGCTTTCTCGACTGGCACTGGGACGACTGGCTATACCGCAGGGGGTCGGTAAACCAAAATAATAATGAGGCATTTTTTTCGAATTCGGTCAAAAAAAACAACTCGGGAACCACTCTTTGGTTCTTTCGGTAAAGTCGCGTAGAGAGAATAAATAAAGTAATAAAGTATGACGTTTCTATTGCAACACAAGCAACCGTCATCAGGTAGAACTACATTTGAGAGAGAGAAAAAACACAGACACGGAGACGCACAGACAGACACACAAGCAGAGAGAGAACACAGACACAGAGAGACGCACAACATAGATACACAGAGACCCAATGCCTCTGTGCCGAGGCCTTAAATAGAGAGAGGGGGGGGGGGGGCAGAGAGAGAGAGAGAGGTGGGTCTGCTGGGGCAGCTTCTGGAGCAGAGAAATTAGCATGTCAATGAATCCACCCCGAAGCGACCGAGGGAAAGAAGATCGAATGGCCCTATTAAACGTCGTACTCTATTTAATGTATTTTCTTTCTACGTTGCTTTACCGAAAGAACCAAAGAGTAATTCCTGCAGTCACGAAAGCTTCAGATTTAAAAGTGCGTAGCTCCCAGCGGCTTCCTGATATCGGAAGGAAGAGCGTTCCAGACGGACGCAGACGCGCATCTGAAAGTGCCGCGCGATGCAGTGACCGTCTTTGTTTAATGGCCAGCCCAAAGCCGCTGCGAGGATGACCCGAGTTCGCGTGATGGTTTATGCTCCTTGACGAGGTCAGCTAGTGGACAGCTTTCCACTCAAATGCGAATCAACTCGTTCCACGCCGCTGCACGCGCCTGATGATTGTTAAACACGTCCCCCACGTGACGCTCTCTGCGTCACGTGGGACACGTGTGCGTGCACGTGCGCATACACGGAGATCTCAATCCTGACTTGAATCGGCTTTCAACGCGCACAGCGGTTCTATGCCGTACGATGCACAGTCGCTCATTGCTTCGCCTGTTTTGCAAAATAGCGCTGTTGTGAATGTGGTGCATGCGTGTGTCTGTATGCGCACGCAGAGAGTGTTGCCCGAGTTCGATTCCCGCCCGTGGCCCCCCACGCCGGCGACGATTGTCAGCGCCGGTGCGGTGCGTGAACATCGCCGCTGGGGAGACAAAGGCGGCCGGGCGTGGTTGTAACCACACCCATTGGGTCTAGGGGGGGGTCGGGGGGGGATCTTTGTCTTTGTACCAGGAACATGCCGGGCCGCACCGCGTGCCGTCTCGCCAGCAGTGGAGCCGCGGGCCCCGGGAGAAGCGCGGTGAGCGACAGGTCGTAGTGCAGCAGCCGGAACGAGTCCCCACGGCCCTGCCGGGGCACACGCAGTACACACGCAGCACACACACAAAGTACACGCAGTACATACACGCAGTGCACACGCAGCACACACAGTACACACAGTACACACACACAGTGCACACGCAGCACACACACACAGTACACACAGTACACACACGCAGTACACACAGTACACACGCGCAGTACACACACAGTAAACACACGCAGTGCACACGCAGTACACACACGCAGCACACACGCAGCACACACACAGTACACACACAGTATACACACGCAGTACACACAGTACACACACGCAGCACACACGCAGTACACACGTAGTAAACACACGCAGTACATGCACACAGTACATACACAATACATACACACAGCACACACGCAGTACACACGCAGTACATACACACAGTTCACACGCAGTACATACAGTGGCAGTAGCCACGGGCTGCTGAAACCAGATTCGAGCTCCAGGCTCTCCGTGGTGCCGGCTCAGTTCTCTGATCTCCGAGCTACCCAGCCGCCTCCACATCCACTGTACTGCGTGTGCTGTACGTTGAACTTCTTTCGCGCCGTACGTAGCCAACCGTGCCGATCGGAGGGTACGGAAACCGGGGTTCAGTTTCTCGCTCGGATCATTGCCGGAATGCCGCTAGGCTGCCTTGGAGTCTGGCTCATCGGCGTAAGGCACTACACCACTGGAGTACAAGGTGCGTCTATCCATAACGATCCTGTAATTGTTGTGCGCCACATCGCTACGATCTGAAGAACAGGTGTTACATGACTGTTTCGTACAAAGTGGACAAAGTACGGTGAGATCAGTGGAGCGTGGCCAAAACAATTCCCACGACGGCGCTCCGGACTTTTTCCAGCTCCCACGAATCGCCGCGGCACAACTCAACGTCCCCCCTCTTCCCAACAAACCTGGATGCATGGCGCGGTCCGGTTGCGGTTCTTCTCCTCGTACAGGGACTCCACCATCCGGAGGCAGGGGTGGTGCGGCCGTCCGGCGGCCGAGTCGACGACGACGACCACGACCACCTGGAGCTGCTGCCGGGGGCCTCCGCGGGGGGCGGCCCGGAGCAGGGCGTCCACCTCCACGTCGGTGACGTTCGGCACGCGGCGCGCGCTGCACCGGCACCTGCCGCACGCACGGGCGCCGGGGATGCGCGCCGGTAAAGGTCAAGGGTCGGGTAAACGGTTGGTCGGACGGTTGGTCGGGAAGTTGGGTCAGAGTCGGGCTATTGGGTCAAAGGTCAGTCAGCTGGTCAGCTAGTTGGCTGGGCAGTAGGACATTTGCTCAGCTGGTCAATCGGTTTGTTGGTCAAATGAATGGTTAGTCGTTTGGTCAGTGGGTCAACCGGTTGAGGAGAACGCCACGTGGATAGTTGGTCTGTTGATCAGTTGAGATGCAGGGCAGTTGATGAATAGTCCGAGTGGTCTACTGGTCAGGTGGTTGAGTCACCTGGTTAGTCGGTCTGCCGCGTGTCGTCAGATGGGTGGCCAACCGGTCAATGTTGCCGTTTGATCCCTCGGCTCAATCGGTGAGTCATTCAGTCAGCGGCCACTTCTCGCTTCACGCTGGGAGCTTCGTCAACTGGAGTTGGCGCCGTGCATTTGCGCCTGTCTCGTTTTATTGTATATTTACATAGAGCAGCTCGGTTCAAGGCGCTTTATATATATTGAGTGATTTTTGTGTTTAGTTTGTTGTCCTTCCCCTGCACCTCCGATTAGCGCGGTTGGCTACCTACCGTAACAGAGGGTTTGTGGGGGTCACGGAAGGGCTATAGGGGAGGGACGGGAAGGAGCGGAGGGGCGAGGGGAGGGGAGGGAATGGGCGACAGAGAAGAGGAAGTGAGGCTTTGAGAGAGGGAGGTGAAGGAGGAGGACTGCTCAAAGTCCGGGGGAAGTCGCCGTCCGACGGGAGCCAGCGGCGTTATCGGCAGTCACCTTTGTCCCGCTGACGGCCTCGCTGGCGCACGGCCTCCCAGCGCCGCGCGCAGAGACACGGGGCACGCCAGCTCCACGTGGCCACTCTCAATACCCGGCAGCGTCCTGGGTAAATACAGGGGCGTCGCAGTGGCAAGATGTTCATGACCTCGCCCGGCACACAGGAGGTTGTGGATTTGATCCCGACCCTGACGACGCCTGCTGCTGTATATTTGGAGTTTGCGTGCCCTCTTTTCCCGTGGATTTTTCTCCGGGTCTCTCCGGTTTTTCACTCCACGTTTAGAATCAACATCACGCGTTTAGAGCATTCGGCTGCTGTAAATTTCCACGCGTTGAGCTATTATTTGTGATGGCCAGGGTCGCTTCTGAATAAGAGTTACGTAGCTCAGTGGGGCCTTACCTGGTAAAATAAAAAATATAAAAATAGGTTTTATCCTAATAAGATAATTGTTTTTAAATCCTTTATATTAAGTTCGCTTGCTTGCTTAGGACCGTGCAAATCTTTCGGTCGTTTTTTAACCCAAAATTTTTTTTCCAAAATTTTACACTGTTTAGGGAAAAAAAACATTTAATTACCAATTGTTTCATGCTGCCAGACAATCATCTGACCCATAGGTGGCAGCCACCTCAAGCCAGAGGACGAGAGGACTCTAGCCGCCCCGATGCCACGCATATAAAGGATTTATAGTGAAAAACTTAGTTTTTACGGGTTTACTTGTTTTACCCTTTTATCTGGCAACAAAACTGACACATTTTTTACAAGGAGTCATGTTTGCATTGACCACAATACCTGCAGTCGGAATGCAAACAAAAAACACAACTCTGATAATGTATGCACTGTCCTTGAAATTGATTGATCCACACCCGAGACAGCTTTCTTTAGAGCCTAGTCTCACATGGTGTTGGACCAGATGACGCCAGGTTTTATCATTTCTGTGTTCAGATGTTACAACACCAAACAGAAATCTTTTGCAAGGAATCAAGTCTGCATTAACCACACATACTTGTGGTTAATGCACAAGTATATGTTTTATTGCCAGAAAGGGTAAAACCTTTTCGTATATTTTGATGCTGGCAATGGAGGTCTCATTAAAATCAAAACTCATATTCTTGGGTCTTTCGCTAAAGTCACGTACATAGCTTTGAACCTATCTACGTGACTTTACCGAAAGAGCCAAGAAGATGATTTCCTGCAGTCACGGAAGCTTTAAGTCAAGATAAAAACACAGTTTAGTCGTACCCCGATGTACGTCCCCCCCGCCACCCGCCTCAACCCCCACACACTGTCACGTCAGCTGGCGTCATCGTTGTCCGTCCTGTCACTCGTGATCCGTCGCCTCTCGGCCTTCGCCACCACCACCACCACCCACCACCACCGCCCACCACCGCCCACCACCACCCACCACCACCCACCACCACCACCGCCCACCACCGCCCACCACCGCCCACCACCACCCACCACCACCCACCACCACCACCGCCCACCACCGCCCACCACCACCCACCGCCCACCACCGCCCACCACCGCCCACCACCGCCCACCACCACCCACCACCACCACCGCCCACCACCGCCCACCACCATCCACCACCACCCACCACCACCACCGCCCACCACCACCCACCACCACCACCGCCCACCACCGCCCACCACCACTACGACTACCGTGTCCATCGCTTCGACTGACGTCGTTCCGATACTCGTTGTTCGCACTTTTCGGCAAGCGCGTCTCCGACGTAAATAGGGCGATTGCTACGTATCAAATGCGATGCTGTATATTTCTGAGGATAATTCGTAGGGGTATAACAATCCAGCCAACCCCCCCCTGCTCCCTTTACAAACCAACGGCTTGTCACGATGGAAGGTGGTGATTCTATTAAAATAATTTATGTACTATTATATATTTATAAAATAAGAGATGGATATTTTATTAACACCGTGCTTGGTGAATGTAGCGGCCTCCAGCGCGGCGGACATTTGAGCCCATCGCGTGCGACAATAAACACATCCCTTTGCCAATCCACTGCCGGGTGAAGGCCTCAAGCCCCCCCTCCCCCTCTCCGCCGCGGGGGGGGGGGGGGGGCGTTTGACCATACTTCACCACGCTGGTGGAAAGAGAAGGGACCCAAAGACCGGACCGAGCCAACTTTTGTAACGGGAACATCATTATAATTGTTTCATCGGTTTATGTGTGTGTGTGTGTGCGCGTGTCACGAGTTTCAGGTGCTTCTGTAAAGCCGTTTGTTTTTTTGCGCCGATCTCCGTTTGCTTCGTCGCCGCCCGCTCTGCTTCCGCGATCTTTTGCCTTTGTCATTTGTGTGTGCCAAGTCCGCTCTCGCCGATGTCAAACCCCTCTCTCTCCTGATCTCTCCACATTTGTGTGAGCCAAGTTCGCTCTTGCCGATGTCATACCCCTCTCTCTCCTGATCTCTCCTGATCTCTCTACATTTGTGTGAGCCAAGTTCGCTCTTGCCGATGTCATACCCCTCTCTCTCCTGATCTCTCCTGATCTCTCTACATTTGTGTGAGCCGAGTCCGCTCTTGCCGATGTCAAACCCCTCTCTCTCCTGATCTCTCCTGATCTCTCTACATTTGTGTGAGCCGAGTCCGCTCTTGCCGATGTCAAACCCCTCTCTCTCCTGATCTCTCTACATTTGTGTGAGCCAAGTCCGCTCTCGCCGATGTCATACCCCTCTCTCTCCTGATCTCTCTACATTTGTGTGAGCCGAGTCCGCTCTTGCCGATGTCAAACCCCTCTCTCTCCTGATCTCTCTACATTTGTGTGAGCCAAGTCCGCTCTTGCCGATGTCAAACCCCTCTCTCTCCTGATCTCTCTACATTTGTGTGAGCCAAGTCCGCTCTCGCCGATGTCAAACCCCTCTCTCTCCTGATCTCTCTACATTTGTGTGAGCCAAGTCCGCTCTCGCCGATGTCAAACCCCTCTCTCTCCTGATCTCTCTACATTTGTATGAGCCTAGTCCGCTCTCGCCGATGTCAAACCCCTCTCTCTCCTGATCTCTCTACATTTGTGTGAGCCAAGTCCGCTCTTGCCGATGTCAAACCCCTCTCTCTCCTGATCTCTCTACATTTGTGTGAGCCAAGTCCGCTCTCGCCGATGTCAAACCCCTCTCTCTCCTGATCTCTCTACATTTGTGTGAGCCAAGTCCGCTCTTGCCGATGTCAAACCCCTCTCTCTCCTGATCTCTCTACATTTGTGTGAGCCAAGTCCGCTCTCGCCGATGTCAAACCCCTCTCTCTCCTGATCTCTCTACATTTGTGTGAGCCAAGTCCGCTCTCGCCGATGTCAAACCCCTCTCTCTCCCGATCTCTTCACAGTTCCCGCCTGGTCAATCAAAAAGAAAGTGGACGCTCTCCGACTCGGACTCCGAGAGGCGTTCTGACCGGGCGGGCGATGCGCGCGACCGTCGTGAGAGGAGGAACAGCTCCGTGGCGTCGTCGCGACCCTGGCGACCGCGGTCCTCCCGTGACAGCGCCGACGCCGCCGACGCCGCCGCCACCGCCACCTCAGCTCCTCCTTTCTCTCCCTCTCCGCCACGATTTGCGGTTGCAGCGCCGCGAGGAGCCGGGCCGGCACGGGCAGGCGCCGGTAGCGACGGTGCCGGCTGTGCCGGTGGTGGCGGCGGCGGCGGTTGCGGCGCTGGCACCTGTAAGCGGTGTGTGGACTCGCGGGGACGTCCGGTAAGTCCGGCACTCACCCCTGGGAGGCGGAAACAAAAACAGCGGAAAGGAAACATCACGGATTGCGCGACGCCGTCCACCCACACGTACGCGCGGTTTTTTAAATTCTTTACATTAAGTTCGCTTGCTTGCTTAGGACCGTGCAAATCTTTCGGTCGTTTTTTAACCCACTTCCCGTGATCCAATCGAGCTGACATTTTCCACACAGACTCGTTGTGCGTGACAATTAATGTTAGTGAAACATTTTTTCCTAAATTTTACACTTTTTAGGACAAAAATATTATATTTAATTACCAATTTCTTAATGGTGCATGCAATCATCTGACCCATAGGTGGCAGCCATCTCAAGCCAGAGGACGAGAGGACTCTAGCCGCCACGTATATAAAGGATTTATAGTGAAAAACTTAGTTTTTACGGGTTATACTTATTTCTTTCTTCGGAAGCGATTCCCTTTTAGTGAAAGCGTTCCGTTCCCCGTGTTGGAGACTGTGGCAGTGGAGCGTGCGTGCGTGCGTGCGGTCGGGTGGTGGTCGGTCAAAGTGCACCTGGCCTGGCACGGGCGCCGTGGTGACGTCACCGTCACTTAGTGGCGAATGGCAGGCGTTGGTATTGTTGGTAGGTCGACTCAGCCTCAAATTATTACCCTGTGCGGTGTGTAAACATCGCCACTCGGGGAGACAAAGGCGTCCGGGCGTGGTGCCGGCCACGCGACCCCCCTCGTGTACCGTGCCGGCCTTCACAGGTGCTGCCACTCGCTAACAGCACTTGCCCTAAGAGTCTGTTAAGGCTACACAGGGGATCTTTATCTCTGTTGTGCGTGCGCGGTACCGACGGCGTGGCGGTAATGCTCCATCCACGCTGCCAGAATGCTGCGGATTCGCTGGCGGAACCTCTTGACCTCAGGCTGACCCCTCGGTATGTGAAGTTCGGCACGGGGGGAGTCGAGAGCGGCCATGGAAAACTGGGGGGGGGGGGGGGGGGGGAAGAGGAATTCACACGCACTGCATCATCGCCATCACCGTGGGGTGGTGAGGCGGTGAGTGGGGTGGTGAGTGTGGTGGTGAGTGTGGTGGTGAGGCACTGAGTGTAGTGGTGAGGCAGTGTGTGTAGTGGTCAGGCAGTGAGTGTGGTGGTGAGGTGCTGAGTGTGGTGGTGAAGCGGTGTGTGTAGTGGTCAGGCAGTGAGTGTGATGGTGAGGTGCTGAGTGTGGTGGTGAAGCAGTGTGTGTAGTGGTGAGGCAGTGAGTGTGGTGGTGAGGTACTGAGTGTGGTGGTGAGGCACTGAGTGTGGTGGTGAGGTTTTCCGTGGGTTTGTGGTAATTAATTGAAGGGAGAGGGGTTACCAGCCCCTCACATCCGTCCAGAGTCCCCGTTTGGCCGCTGTGGTGGCAACAAATGCCTTGAGGGGAAGAGCCGATTTTGGAATTCGCCTCCCCTCCATGGCATTGCTCACAGACACCGCAGCGTTACTGTCCGGCAGCACCGACAAGGTATTTGTGCCATGGCCGGGAGTCGGAGCCATTCCCTGTTCACCTTGGGGCGCGACAGGGATGTCCTCTGGCTCCCGCATTATTTTACATCTTTTTCGACCGCGTGGTTCGTGAAGCCTTCGATGGCCGTACCGGAGGAATTTCCATCTGGTACAGATACAACGGGAGGCTTCATCATGGGACCTCCCTTGCAAGTATTTATAAACAGTTGTCTTAAGATGTTAAATCACCAAGCAGAAACCTTCTGCAAGGAATCATGTCTGCATTAACCACACATACTTGTCGTGAACAGACACAATTCCTTGTGTAAAGCCTATTAACACATTCCTGCGGAGGGAGCTGGTAGAAACGTTGGGTTGCTCGGTCAATGGCCAGGGTCAACGGCGGCGTGGTGTATTACGCAAATATGACCGACTGTGAGGGCGGGCACAAGCCGGCGTGAGTAGGTTAAACGTTGAGTTTTATAAGGGCACCACGAGGTGACCAGCCCCTCCCCACCCTCCCCTCCCCACCAAGCCCCACCCTCCCCACCCAGTCCCTCCCCACCCTCCCCTCCCCTCCCCACCCATCCCCTCCCTGCACGACGGACACAATAATCCCCTGTGGGCTGGTGTAACCAATAGGTTCCTACCAGTATTATATACAATGGGAGGCTGATCGATGCCCAGGTGCGGTCCAGGGATGGCTCCCTATTGGTCAACCATGTTATGTATGCCGATGATCTGGTGATTGCCGCTCACTCAGAGGAGGAGTTGGAGGCACTGCTACTGAACCTGGAGCGTGCCACTCAGAGGTGGGGCCTTTCCATCAGCCCCACCAAAACTAAGAACCTGCCTGGGTATGTTGTGCCATCAAACACTCCACCCCCTCACCTCCCTATTGGTGATAGGGCAGTTGTGGAGAGAGTCGAGAGTTTTACACATGCGGGCAGTGTGCTCAGGACCAGCTCCGGTTTGTCAGCCGAGGTCTCACTCCGAGTCAGTTGAGCGGCAATATCTTTTCATCAGCTCCGTAAAAGCTGTGTGAAAGCTACCTGGTCTGTCGCTCCACATGAAGCTTCGGGTCTTCTTGGCCATGGTCATGCCCTCCCTTCTCTATGCTTGCAAAACGTGGACTGCCCTATTGGAACATCTTCGCCGGTTAGAAACATTTAGGCTGGCCTGCCTACGATCCGTCCTGGGTTTAACCATGTGGATTGTGTGAGGATCTCACAAATCCTTGAAAGATCTGGACAAAGTCCCATTGGTGAGCTCCTCCAGCAGGCAAGGCTGCGTTGGCTGGGTCATGTGGCCCGCATGCCCAGCCACCGAATGCCTAGACAGCTTTTGTGTGGCCAGATCGAGGGGGCTAAACGAGCACTGCATGGGCTAGAGACGAGATGGAGCGATGTGGTACAAGAGGATGTAGAGCTGAGTGGACTTACCGATGACTGGTACCAGCGGTGTCAAGATCGGCCTCTGTGGAGGATGCTTTTGAGCAGTTGGAGGCATTCGCCCTCCAGCAATACTGGAGGGCAGAGGAGCGATGCTCACAACAACGAGCGGAGCACCGGGTGGCTAAAGCACAGCGAGTTGGCACAGTAGAGGGTACAGGTAATGCATCGGCCAGTCATCTCAGTCAGTCGACCCGTGGCACCACCTGGGTCTGCCCCGTGACCTCCTGCCAGCGGGCGTTCGACACTTCGCGTGGCCTTAACGTGCACATAGCCTGGCACAAGCACCGTGGTGACATCACCGCCACTTAGTGGCGAATGGCGGTTGTTGTGGTGAGGAGGTGAGAGTGGCGGTGAGGCGGCGGTCGTGGTGAGTGCGCGCTCACCGGCGACACGGAGAGGCGCACGCACTCCTGCTGACAGCGGAAGAGCAGCGTCACCGCGTGACGCGCCATCACGCGCAGCGTCATGAAGTCGCCAACCTGCAACAGACCGTCGGGGCAAGTGCTGTTAGCGAGCACCTATGAAGGCCGGCACGGCACACGAGGGGGTGGGTGGCCAACACCACGCCCGGCCGCCTTTGTCTCCCCAGTGGCGATGTTTACACACCGCAGCAGGTACTCATTTGAGGCTGAGTCGACCTAGGGGAGGCCCAGGACTGATTCAGATAATCGTCACCGGTGTTGGCCATGAGCAGGAATCGAACTCGGGTCACCGGGTTTGTAGTGCAGCAGAGCGCTAACTGCTGTGCCACCGCCCCCCACACACACGCACACACATAAAGATCCCCCGTATAGCCTGAACAGACTGTAGGGGCAAGTGCTGTTTGCAAGCACCTATGAAGGCCGGCACGGCACACAAGGGGGTGGGTGGCCAGCACCACGCCCGACCGCCTTTGTCTCCCTAGTGACGATGTTTACACATCGCATCAGGTACTCATTTGAGGCTGAGTCGACCTAGGGGAGGCCCAGGACCAGTTCAGATAATCGTCGCTGGTGTTGGCCGTGAGCGGGAATCGAACTCCGGTCGCCGGGTTCATAGCGCAGCACGCTAACCACTACACTACCGCTCCCCACAATGCATACACACATACGCACACACATATGCACACACATACACACGGGCACGCGCGCAGTGCCACTGATGCTCACCGGCATTACACCGTGTGGCCGCGCACCCTGTGGGTACCTAGAAGGGCCCAATCAAGATTAGGATTTGCGCGTTCAGTGGCGCTCGCGCAAGCGCCACTGAACGTGCAGCAACTCCGAGCGCCTCGCGCCGCGTCCCGTCTCCACCGCTCAGTCGCCCCGCCGCAGCCTAGCCAGGGGGGGGGACCCCCAGTGGGCAGCTGTCTCAACGCGTGTCGTTCTGCCAGTAGGGGGGAGGGGTGGTGGTGGTGGGGGGCGATGTTGCCTCCGTGTCTTTACCCGGTGAGGCCATTTTTGCGAGTAGCTTTCATGAACATTCGGGCCGTGAAACGCTCGGTGCGGGGGCGGTTGGACGTGTGTAGTCACCGCATTGCGGCAACCGCGCAACGGCCGCCATCCTCGCAGCGGCGGATTTTAGCTGCTCACCATCGAACAAAGATGGTGGTGGTGACCGCATCTGATGCGCTTCTGCGGCCGTCTAGAACGCGCTTCCGATGTTAGGAAGCCACTGGCAGCTATGCATTTAGTTGATAAACTAATTTCTTTAGGACCCCCCCCCCTTTTCCTGAAGATGACCGCTTGTGTTGCGATCGAAACGTCGTAGTTTTTGGTCATTTTTGTTATTTGCTTTGAACCTGTCTACGTGACTTTACCGAAAGACCCAAGAATCTGATTTTTGTAGTTTAGTTTTGTGGCCCTTCCCCCGCACTTACGATTAGACGGTTGGCCACGTACGGTGCGAACGAAGTTCAACATACATACAACATACATACAACATACATACAACATACATACAACATACATACGGTGGCCGTGGCTTTGTTCGACGCGACCCACCCACGGACACTCACGGGGACGGTGAGGGGTCGCTCGGCCCTCCCCGACCGCGGCCAGCGCCACGCGCTCACGGGGCTGCCCTTGGCGTCGCACAGCGCCACGCCAGTGACGTTCATCATCACGGCCATGCGCTGGGGGCTGAGGGGGGCAGGCACACGGGTTAGAGTGAGTGGTGGCACGTGGGTGTCGGGTGGAGGGCGGCAGGCAGGTGAAGGGTGGCACACGGATGAGGGTCGACACAAGGGGAGATTGACCTCTGAGAGTGGGAGACGCGACAGAGCGGGGATTAGTCTGTGGCTCTGACGACTTCGTGTTCCCATCTGTCCCCTGTGTTCCGGTGTCCCTGTCTCTCCGCGTCTCAATGTCTTGCTGTGCCTCGGTGTCCCCTCTATCCCCGTGTGTCCCCATGTCCCCTCTATCCCCGTGTGTCCCCATGTCCCCTCTATCTCCCCCCGCGGGACCCCCCCGTAATTCCCCCCCGTAATCACCGTGGGGTCCCCTCTATCCACGCGGGCCCCCCCCCATAATCCCCGTGGGGTCTCCCCTGCCCCCCCTACGCCCCCCGCGCCGCGTCACCTGGCTGCGTGGAACACGAACCCCCGCCCGTCGGGGGTGAAGGTGGCGAGGAGCGCGGGGCGCTGCTCGTCGTCCGCGAAGGCGACCGTGTGGGCCCCGGCGCCGCGGGGCCCCGCGGGGACCTGGACCACGGCCACGCGGCCCGACGGGTAGCTGGGGGGGGGGGGGGGGGGCGCGTTGGCGGCCGCCGTCAAGGAGTTTGCGGGGCGGTGAAGTAGTCGCTCGTGGCGACGAGACGTCGACGTCGCTCGTGTCTCGTCACGTGATCGTAGTCATCACGTGATTGTAGTCGTCACGTGATCGTAGTCATTGCGTGATCGTAGTCATCGCGTGATCGTAGTCATCGCATGATCGTAGTCACGTGATAGTAGTCGTCACGTAATCGTAGTCGTCGTGTGATCGTAATCACGTGATAGTAGTCGTCACGTGATTGTAGTCACTTGATTGTAGTCATCACGTGATCGTAGTCGTCGTGTGATCGTAGTCACGTGATCGTAGTCACGTGATAGTAGTAATCACTTGATTGTAGTCGTCACGTGATTGTAGTCGTCGTGTGTGATCGTAGTCATCACGTGATCGTCGCCGTAGTCATTATGTCGTGCCGGTAAATCATTACCAGATATCATTAAGCCATCACCAGCGGGGTCATCATCGTCGTCGTATTATTATTGTCAATACATCCTTCATCAAAATCATCACCACCCGTATGATCATCTCACCATCGCAGCCAACGTGACAACCACCTCGCTATCGTCTTCACTGTCTTAGTGATGACGATAGCTGTGCTAGTAACGAATTGGCATGTTCTGTTTACGTGACAACCCTTACTAATTGGCTGTGTCGGGTGGTGGCGGGTTTAACGACAAATTTATATATTTACACGATCTATGGATCACTGTCTTCGACAGCACCCTCATCATCCATCAGATATCATCACCACTGTGGTAATCACCGCATCATCACCACCGTTATCATCCCACCATCGTAACCGCCACCGCCACATCATCATCGCCACCATCACCGCTACCAACACCCCACCATAACCACATCATCACCACCACCCTTAACATCTCACCATAAGTGCGCCGCGGTGGCACACTTACGGTATGCAGGAGGTCGTGGGTTCAATCCTGATCCTGACGCCTGCTGTATATGTGTAATTTGCACGTTCTCCCAGTGATCACGTGGATTTTTCCTTCCACATTTAGAATGAACACCACGTGTTTAGAACAGGGGGTGGGCAACCTGCGGTTTCGGAGCCGCACGCGGCTCTTTCAGGGCTGCTGTCTTCGTGACGTCGTTTATCAAGGACCCACCGTCTCGTATTCACCATACGGTGCATCGCGGCTCTTAAAATATTGTTGGGGGTTTTTTTCATACAATTTGAAAAACAAATGGCTCTTCTTGTCATTTTTCCTGCCAACACTCTGGATTAGATCAATTGGCTGCTATACATTTCCCACGTGATAAGCCACTTCATTGAGGTGGCGTCACGTGTGGCCAGGTCGCTTCTGTGAAAGAGCTGCATAACTCAGCGGGCCTTACCCGGTAAATAAGTTTAGTTTCATAACCCAACATCATCATCACCACCACCACCATAATCACCACCACCACCATAATCATCACCGCACCATAGCCACCACTTCACCACCACCACCACAACGAGGAGGATACTAGACGACGACGCTTCCGTCCGGTAGTTGGCAGTGCAGCGTCTGTGCGCCGACCGCCTCCCCTGCCGCCGCTCCCCCCGTGAGGAGCAGCCCCTCGGCTCGCGCGACGGCGGCACACAGCGCCGAGCGTCCGCTCGCCGGCCGCCCCCTCGCCGCCCGGCAGCCCGCCGGCCCCGCCGGCCCCGCCGCTGCCGCCGCCGGGAGTGGGGGGGCGGCGAGGAGGTGGGCCGGTTTGGCCGAGTCGGCGCCGGCGACGCCGCCGCCACCTTCCCCGTAGCGGCGCAGGATCAGGGGGTGCGACGCGCCGGCTCTGGCGCGTGCGTGGCTCTCCGCGTCGCTGGGGGGGAGGGGGGTGAAGGAGGAGGAGGACAACGGCGACGACGGGGGTGAGAATCACGCGGCTCCATCGCTTTGCCCGCGACCGCTTTGTCCGCGCGCGAGCGGGGTGGTCACGCGTCGACGAGATGACAAGACGAATGGGCCGCAGTTGCCGAATGTGCGGCAGGCGGCGAAAAACGTCGCCACGAATCCGCCAAGCAGGCCTGGACCTCTCCTGTAAAGCAACTGCTCGCATGCAACTGGTGGCAGGGATTCAGCTGCGTGCAACCAAGTTGCATGCGTGCAACCAAGTTGCACGCAACCGATCGCTCGGGTGCAAGATGCGGCTTTAGAGCGTCAGTTGGCGGCACCTACGTGACGCGGAGAGAGGCCTGCAGCCTGCGTGCGGCCCAGGAGCAGTGCTCCATCCATGCCTGTGCGTCGCGACCTCCGAACCCTTCGTCCAGTAGCCCTGCTCTCCCACACAGACCACACGGGGAGGCACGCTGCCCTCTGAATCAGGCCTGGGCCCTGCACCACCAAAATGTCCCTCTGTGGCCCACCCAACGTGACCCTCGTTAGCGGTATATCACTCTCAGGGTAGCCCCCCACACAACAACAAAGATGGTCAACTGCATCAGACGGCACTTTCAGGTGCGCTTCTGCGGTCCGTCTGGAACGCCCTTCCGATATTCGAAAAGCCGCTGGGATCTACGGCGCTTTCAAATCATCATCTCGATAGACGAACTAACTTTTTTAGAACTCATTTTTGCGTTTAGTTTTTTGCCCCCACCCCCCTCCCGGCATCTCCGATTGGCACGGCTGGCTACGTGCAGCGCGAAAGAAGTTCCAAAGCCACGTGCGTAGCGGCGCCACCGTCGGTGGTGGCGATGTGCGAGGCGTTACCGCGGATCGCCAGCGAGAGGGACGACATCGAGAAGCTGAGGACCGACGCAGGCAGCCCGGGCTGCGATGGCGACGAACGGCTCTGTGCACCTGGTGGGAGGGGGGGGGGAGCAACGGCACAAGGCAACGCAACCGCAGGTATGTACGTCCGTAGCGTACATGTGTGTTGGACCGCGCTAATCGGAGGTGCGTGGGTGGGGGGTGGGCGGACAACAAACTAAACATTAAAAGGTCCCGGAATGAACTGGCCGCTTCGCTTTCACGAGACCCTCCACCGTCTGATGCAGCCAAACAATTACATCGTCGTCACGAATCCAGTAAGTCGTGATAACGCCCTAGATGTCCTGAAGATGGCTCGACGTGGTTTCAAGCGAAACGCCGGATCTAGGATCCCCTCCCTGTGGTTTCGAGGATTGTTCTTCAGCTCAGCGGTGCGTGAGCTGGAGCAACGGCATGAAACACCTCGAGCCATCTTCGGGACATCTCGGGCGTTATCACGACTTACCGGATTTGTTATTTTGGCCTCCTGGATCTTGTTTATGTGATGATGTAATCTTTCGGCTGTGTCAGATGCCGGAGGGTCCTACGACAGCCAAGTGACCAGATCATTCCGGGACCTTTTTAATGTTTAGTTTGTTGTCCTTCCCCCGTACCTCCGATTAGCGCAGTTGGCTACGTACGGTGATAAAAAGTTCAACGTACACACATTTGGCGCGTCGTTAAAACGCTTGCACACCGTGTGACCAAGTTAATTCGTTTGGCTTTGGCGGGCGACGGAATATCGACCAGATCGTTACGGGCGGGGGGACCGAGCGGCCTAAAACTCAAAAAAACAATTATGAATCGCAATAGAGGCCGCGAAAATCTGGGCGGTCAGACGAGAGCCGTGTGTCCTTGGGGTCGCTCCTGCCTCTGACGGGCGTTAACGAGCGACGAGCGTGGAACTCACCTGCGTCGCTGCGGGGGCTCGGGTTGGAAGCCTCCGTCTTCTTGGCCCTGGCCCTGTCACCTGCGGCGGGGAGGGGGGGGAGCGCAACTCCGTGAATGCAAACGAGCGTCACGAGGAGCCGTGCATGTGCACGAGTCGAACTTCTTTCGCACCGCGCTGATTGGAGGTGCGGAGGGGTTGAGATGCAGGGTGCTGCTGGTGGCGGCGAGGGAACGGGCCGCCGGTCAGCTTCACGTGGGCCTCGCCCGCGAGGAACCCACCGGCAGACCGACCGACTGATGGGATTGTGATGCCATTCTGGCGATGGGAGCGTGATGTGTTGATGGCGATAATGATGCCTGTAGCGGCGATGGCAGTTCGCTGGGATGACGGGAGGAATGGGTGATCGAATGATGATGATGATTATTGATGGTGATGATGACCCATTTATGGAAATACGTATGATGATGACAGGGTGGGTGATACAATGATGATCGTGATGATGATGGGTGGGTGATGGAACGATAACGACGGCAATTATTACAACAATGACGATATTAATGATGACGACAGCAACAACGTCAATGACATCCATGGCGACGACGATTGTATCGGCAAGGATGACAATAGCGACGAGGACGACGACGACGTGAAACAGAACGGTGACAACCACAACAACGAGGACGATAACAACAACAACAACGGACGATGACGTACGACCCCCGGGCCTCTCACCGTACCTCGTGGTGGCCCCGGCGCCACCACCCCCGGCCGGTGCCTGTTCCCCGTCTCAGGCCTGCGCCGCCGCCGCCTTCGCCTCCCGGTTCTTTGGCGCCGCTTTCTCCGCTCGTCCGTCGGGGAGCTTGGCGGGTTCCGGTGTTCCACCGCCGTCGCCGCCGTCGTCACTACCGTCGCCGTCCGTGCCGCCGACGGCGCCGGTTGACGGAGCGGCCAGCGCGGAGAGCTCCGGCCAGCTGCACTGGATGATGTTGCGCAAGCCCTGGAACGGGATCACGGGCGGCCGTCACGACGGTGCCGATGCCGCCCCCCCCTCCCACCTCGTGCGCAAATTTATTTGTCCGCTCGCTGGCCTCGGCGGTGGCACTGGGAATAACGGTCGTACACGGATGCGAACTGACGCACCTCGATGATGGTAAAAAAATTCCTTGAGATGGACAAAGACAAAGATCCCCCGTGTAGCCTTAACAGACTGTAGGGGCAAGTGCTGTTAGCGAGCACCTATGAAGGCCGGAACGGTACACGAGGGGGTGGGTGGCCAGCACCACGCCCGACCGCCTTTGTCTCCCCAGTGGCGATGTTTACACACCGCACCAGGTACTCATTTGAGGCTGAGTCGACCTAGGGGAGGCCCATGACCGGTTAAGATAATCGTCACCGGTGTTGGCCGTGAGCGGGAATCGAACCCGGGTCGCTGTGTTCATAGCGCAGCGTAGCGCTACCCGCTGCACACCAGAGGTCGCAACCGGGTACCCGATACCCGTACCCTACCCGATACCCGGCTACCTGTACCCGGCCGGGTACAGGTACGGGTACCCGTTTGCGACCCTGGTGCGGCCGGGTATGGGTACGGGTAGACCGTGAGTCACTGGTGAGTAACCGTTTGTCACTCATTTCCCAAGCTCTTGTCTCTTCTCACAATTCAAGTTCCTAGAATCAACCCACCCGCGCCTGCAACATGGCTTCATCCCAGAGGTCGCAATCGGGTACCCGATACCCGTACCCTACCCGATACCCGGCCGGGTACGGGTAGGGTACGGGTACGGCCGGGTACGGGTACCCGTTTGCGACCCTGGTGCGGCCGGGTACGGGTAAGGAATCAAAACCTGTTTGCGACCTCTGCTGCACACACGTGCACAAGGGTGTCCAGAGGGTGCGACGGTCGGACAGCGCGATGTGGTCGGCTAGGTGACGGCTAAGCCGTAGCGAGGAACAAATGTTCGCCGCTGGGAACAAATCTTCGTTCTCGCGGGGGTTACAAATAATCACCAAGATGTATTGTTCCTGGTCGGCGGTGGAGGGGGGGTGGAACCAATAACATTTCTTAACTTTCGAATATTTGGCTGTTGTAAATGTCCACGTGATGATGATGATAAGCCACTTCATTGAGCCCTCATTTGTGGCCAGCTCACTTCTGAAAAACAAGTTCATACCTCTCTAGATTTGAAGCTTTCGTGACTGCAAGTATTCATATTCTTAGGTTTTTTCGGTAAAGTCACGTAGATAAAAAAATCAAAATTAATCAAAGTAAAATTAAAATAAAATAAAAATCACGACGTTTCGGAGGCAACACAGGCTTCCGTCTTCAGGTGGAACCGTCACAGCACGCTTGCTGTAATCAAGTAAAACAAAAATTTCATACCTCAAGTGGGCTTTGCCTGGTAGGATGGGGTATGGTTTTAGTGGTGTATTTGTTTGTGTTTAGGTGATTTAAATTTTAAAAAATCCTGTACTTTGCACTACTTTCGTGTTTTTTTTATTGTTTGTTGTTGTAAGCTTTGTAGCTCATCGGATTCCTCCAGTATAAATCAATATTCTGATTTAAAATAAATATTCTGATTTAAAATAAATATTCTGATTTAAAATAAATATTCTGAAGTGCTGTTGTCGAGCACCACCTCGGGCCGGGCCAGACTGCAGCGCTGTATCGGCTCAGCGGGCCTTACCTGGTCAAATAAAAAACATAGTGTCCTGCAAACAAATAATGAGTCGGTGGATCACGTGCTTGATGGTGCGGGCCGTCGTGTCCCACGTGGCGCGTGCGGGCGTCACCTGGGGGAGGTTGAGGCCGGCGCGCATCACCGAGTCCAGCACCAGGCCCAGCTCGAGCAGCAGGAGCCGCACGCGTTCCGGTGTCGGGCCCCTCCACCCATCGCCGAGGGGTCTGCAGAGCGCGCGACGGACGACGGAGCGGTGGCGCAGTGGTTAGCGCCACCGCTCCTCATACACGTACAAAGATCCCCCTATAGCCTTAACAGACTGTTGGGGCAAGTGCTGTTAGCGAGCACCTATGAAGGCCGGAACGGTACACGAGGGGGTGGGTGGCCAGCACCACGCCCGACCGCCTTTGTCTCCCCAGTGGCGATGTTTACACACTGCACAAGGTACTCATTTGAGGCTGAGTCGACCTAGGGGAGGCCCGGGACCGGTTCAGATAATCGTCACTGGTGTTTGCCGTGAGCGGGAATCGAACTCGTATCACTGGGTTCATAGCGCAGTGCGCTAACCGCTACACTATCGCTCCCCACATGCATGTATGTACACGTACATACATGCATACGCACACCTACGCATTGACACAAACGCACTGATATTTAACGCATAAATCCACACCTATAAGAAACGCATACATCCACGCTTAGCCACACAGCCTTTTTGGGTGCAAGTGCTGATAGCGAGCAGCTATGAATTCTAGATTTGAACTACACTTATTTGGCCAATCTTTTTGACAGACAACTATTACAGGTTATTGATAGACAGCCAGGCATGTTTTACCATGTTTAGTTGTTTCTTCTTTTTTCACACTATTGTTATGTAGGCCAGGCTTAGTCACAAACCGTACCTCTCCATAACAAAGGCTCACCCTCTTAAGCCTCACCTTACCATATTAATAAAAAAGTGTGCCGTACTTGGCCCTTCCCCCCTCTCCAACCATTATATATACGGAGTGGTAGCTCTTGCAATCTCTCATTTACTTGATACAGCTGTCGTGGCTGTGACGGTTCCACCTGAAAACGGAAGCTTGTGTTTCCTCCGAAACGTCGTGACTTTTATTTTTATTTTATTTTACTTTTATTAATTTTAATGTTTTACCTACGTGACTTTACCGAAAAAAACCTAAGAATAGCAGCTATGAAGGCCGGCGCGAGGAGGAGGAGGAAGAGCCGGTGGCGGCAGCGCGCCGCTCCCCGCGGTTCACGGGCGAACGTGGGCAACGCTCCGAGTCGCTCGGCACCTCTTGACTTGCCCGTCCTGCAGGGAGAAGAAGCCGAACCGCTCCTCGGCCCCCGGCTGCTGCTCCTCCGTGGGGGACTCCCGCGGGCCGCCGTGGCTGCCCTCCTCCCTGGGGCTGCCCCCCGGCTGCCCAGGTCTCCGCTGCTGCCCAGGAACCCTGAGGCCCGGACCCTGGCTGAGAGAGGAGGAGAGGAGTCACGGGGGGTGGGGGGGTGCAGATGCCGGGCGTGGGTACAGGTGCAGCCCCGCAATTGCTTGCTCGCGCCACTGCTGGCTGGAAGAGTTTCTGCTAGCGAGAGAGAGAGAACTCCGGAGGGCATTTGGTCCACACTCTTTCGACTACCCACATAGCCACACTCTACAGCCCCCACACGTTGACCTGCCGATCGATGTAACCACAGCGCCCCCCCCCCACCCCCCGCTCTTCTCGGCGGTGACGTCAGATTCTTGGACGAAACCGGGCCCGTTTTTGAAATCGTGACCGAAACGAAACCGGGTAAGGCCCCCACTGAGCTTCGTAGCTCTGTTTGTCAGAAGCGACCTGCCCACAGAAAGATAGCTCAACGAAGGGGCGCATCGTCATCGCGGGGAAATTCACAAGCGGCCAAATGCCCTAAACGCACGCGTCCATTCCTACATTGCGGAGGGTTGGAACAAAACCCGGAGGACGCGGAGAAAAATCCACGTGACACACGGGGGGAATATCCACGGTGTAACCAAGTCCCCGTCGCATCGAAGCATTTTGTTTTGCCGTGGGCACCTGGGCCTCGCGCTTGTCCATGGAATATTTCTACCCTCCCACTCCTCGTGCGTCGTACTGGGCTCTTGTTCAATAAAAAAGTAATATTTTTAAAAAGTTTTTTTTAAACACGCTTTAATGAAATGTACCGTACTAGTAATGGATGAACTCCACGACTCCAGGAAGTGGCCTCGAAGCTTGCCATAACATAAGGGGCTGTGGTGATTTACAGCCAATGTCAGTTGACCGTGGACAATTAGACCCAAGCCGAAACATAACATATAAAAAGGAATGTTTTTAAATATGTTTTTTTATTATATAATATAGTATTGTCATCAATATGACATCAGTATTCCAAGTTTGTAGTCGATACCACATTGGGAAGTGGGTTAAAATTGAGTTGCAAGATTTGAAGATATCAACAATAGACAGAGTGAGTAAAATAAAAGCGTGTAATAATAAAAAAAATATTGCCCACTGGGGTTTTACCTGTGCCGACAATAAGATCTCAACCTAAATCACACCGACACAACAACAACAACAGCAGCAGCGGCTGCACCCGTGGCACCGTCGCGATGTTACCTGTTGGTTGGCGCACCCCGTGGGCTGCCAGGAACCCCCTGCGCCCGTGCGGGGACCCGGTACACCTGGCCGGGGACCCGGGGAACTCCGCGCTGCGGGTAGACGAGAAAGAGAGGGCTCCGTCAGACCGCGCCGGGCAGTTAAACACTCGCTCCAGCCTGCGTCGTTTTGACGTTGCGTTTGTCTCGTGTTTGTATTGGCGGTGGCGCGGCCTGGATCGTTCAACGAGAACCAATCTCAATGTTGGGACTCCGCAATGGGAGCGGTGCATCACGTGGAAATGTATAGCGTCCGAATACTCTAAACGCACAGTTAGTTGTTGATTCGAGAGGGGAAAACCGGGAGGACCCGGAGAAAAATGCGTGCGACCACGGGCTGAGAGAGGAGGACACGCAAACTCCACGTGTTGTCGTGATCGCGTAGCGTGGCCACCGTCACCACCCGGCGATGTGCCGGAACGGAAGAAGGGATTGCGGAGAGGATGAATGGAACTCGAGCCAAGAACCTTGCCCATGGGCAAGAG